TATATATATATTATATATATATATATATATATATATATATATATATATATATATATATATATATATATATATATATATATATATATATATATATATATATATATATATATATATATATATATATATATATATATATATATATATATTATATTGTTGTGGTTGCTGAGGACTTTTAGTGTGCAGATGTTTATCATCCCATATTTAAAGTCTGATCATGACCTATTTACAGAAATCTGGCAGCTGGTTTGTTGGAGGACATCAGTAAACCTCTGAAGGGTTTTGTTGAAGCTCAAACAAAAGCCAGGAAGCCGGTGAGTTGTCTTTGTCTGTTCTAGTTTTTCTTTATGTCAGTGACAAGCTATTGGAAGTGATTCTTCTTCTTCTTTTGTTCGCTTGGAAAAAAATTATCTATATCTGCAATTTTTGTCTCTAGTATAAACTTCATTGTCTTGTGATTCACTTAGCGAGCTGTTAAGTTTGACTTGCACCCATGTTTCTCTTGGCTGGAAGTTATGCCTTGATATGTTGTATTTGGGACAGTCTTGGAGGACATGATCTGTTGTCTCAGGTGCCAAACCACATGTGCACACGGCTGGTTTGCCGATCAAATTAGAACTGATGATGGGGGTGTTTTAGAAGAATGTTGAGAATATCCTGACAGTAGTTGGTATTACTCAGGGCTTTTTCTTCTGGAAAAATAAAGTATCTAAAAAAATGTTGCGAGTTCACGCCACAAAGTGGAACTTATTGTGACAACTAGAGAAACCTATTCAAAGAGAGCTAAGAGTAAGAAATGAGACAAGAAGAGAACATTGTTGACAGTCTTCTATCATGGCACTAAAGCTGTCAGCCTGCACATGAATTGGTACTTGAATTGAAGAATGAAAGATGTGGAATTGTAATATTAATGACTCATGTCACTTAGCAATTCATTTGATGCTGATGATGCTATTAACTCTTTCATTACCAGAAGATTTTGCAGTAGATGTCCCAGGGGAAAAGTAACTCCTGAGGAAAATAAAATGCACACTGTAGGAGCAACAATTTTTTAGTATGCTGTCATCATCATCATCATCATCATCATCATCATCATCACATACCCTGCCGACTGTGTAGGTGTTCATGCATCTTCACAGATCTCAGTCCCTTGTTCTATGGATCAGTTCCACTGATGCTATCCCTCGATGCCAACGTCACAGTCCACCCGTCATCGTCTCTCTTGGTCTGCCTCTCCCTCTTCTACCGTTGATCTACCCGGTTGTCACAATATTCTCCAAAGCTTCCCCCCTCATCACATGACCGAAGAACAGTTCAGGTCTTTTCCTTATAGCTGTATAATTCATTTGCTTTCATTAACCTTCTTCAAGCAATCCTCATTAGTTACTCCAGCAGTCGAAGGGATTCTTAACATATGTCTGAAAAAAAAACCACATCTCCATCGCCCCCAAGGTCTTTCAGATTTGTGCATTCACATTCCTTGATTCACTTACATACATCAATATAGGTTCTACATAATGTTTTAGTACTCTCTTTCGGACATCCAAAGAGAAATACCTGTGAAATGCAGCCTTAGCCTGGCCTATTCTGCTTTAATTTCTGACACCCTTCTTCCGTCTGATGTTATGATTATACCCAGATATTTGAATTTATCGACTTGGATTATCTTTTTACCTTCTATTCTAATATCACACTGTGATGGTAGTCTTTTCTTTGATATAACTATTACCTCCGATTTCTTTATATTCAAGGACAGACCCTTTTTTGCACTCTCCCTCTTTACAGTGTCAGATAATTGATGTAGATCATTTGCATTTTCAGCTCTCAGTACTATCATCTGCATAATGTATGTTGTTTATACTTGTATAATCTCCTTCCACCATAATTCTTTGTATATCTTTGATCTCTCTCAATATTCAATCTGTTTTGCTTCATGAATTTCTTGGGAATATAATGTGGTGATGTCACGTTGCCTTCCAAATTCACCTGGGGATATTTGAACCATTCCCTTAGCAATTTCTGGCAGTCAGGACAAGTGAGTGTCCTTTTCTGCTCAGGTCCACTTTTTCTGGTGGATACTCAGACCCCCAATGTGCATTAGCCACACCGAGCTGTGCTTCCTGTTCTCTACCTCGAGGAGGTGCAGTTGGGGTTTTCCCTGTATATCGAATTTGAGACCGAGGTGGCATTTCTCAAACCCTGTAGGTACTATTTAGAGAACTATTCTCTTACAAAGTGGGCAGAAACGCTTTCACCCATAGTGGCTGCAAAACCAACACTTCCATTTGGGCCCAATTGCCCGTAAATGTCACTTTTTAGACTTGTTTATAGCGACCTGTTTAAGGGTCGCATAGTCAATGCAGGTGGATATTTTTTGCACCTATGCAAATATTTAGGATGTCAGGATATAACTGTTTTAACCAAAAATAGCAGTTCAAGGGGTTTTCCTTTGAGCGAAGTAGCTTTTTCCGCACACAACTCTGTAGCTACAGCGACTTCCTCCATTTACCCCAGAGTGTTAACTCTGGTACCCATTACATAGAGGCTGGGTGAACTCCGGGAACTGCTCGGTTTCGAACACCGCCCATCGGCCGCAGCGAGTCGCAACTGGATTTGAAAGCGAGTCTTCCATCAACTGCGCTAACACGGCCCCATTTAATGCTTCACCCTCTTCATGTCTGTTGATTACTCCCCTTTAATATCTTTATATATTTCAAAAGAAAAAACAAAATATAGATAAATAAAATGTTTTATGAATTATTTAGTGACCTGGGTAACATATGTGATTGCTTGGATTTATAGGGAAGAGTCCGTAACATACACAGCGTGGTTTGAGATGGAAATAACTCTTTTAGTGCCAGAAGAATTAGTTTGAAATACTTAAGGAGATAACAGACACAGTTAAAAGTGCCTGAGTGCATTGCTTCCAAAGAGACAGTATATTCTATACTGCAGTATATACTATACTGTATATTAGCATATCTAGCCAAATATCTTTTGCCTGCTCAGACCAAATGTAAAATGTGTAATTACACATCGTTCATTGTTTGATACACACTGATTTTAGCTAATCACACCCTGTGTGTTGGTTAGGATAGAAAGAGTTAAAACATAATAATCGTACAACTTTGAAATATTGTTTCTTTGCTGTAGCTAGAGGCTGTGGTTGACAAGTCGTACAAGAACCTCACTGACAGACGTGCTGAGGAATTCAAGGTAGGCATTCTGTGAAAGCATGTGTGGAACCAAAACAAGTAGTTTAACTTCTGAAGGTTTTTGTAGCACTAAAATGATGTAGTTAAACAGGGCTGACTGCATTCAGGCAAGGAGCAGGTGTACATTGGTGTAAAATATAATTAGTTTGCCTAATAAATTCACTTGGCAAGTGATTTGAATTTATATGTTTGCATGCATTCTGCATGTTACCCATACACTGAGAGAAAGAATGAACAGAGAAATGCATACCAGTTATAATAAATCTTCAGGAAAAATATAGAACAGAACGAAAAGTAGATCAGCAAGCTTTACAATATAACAAAGACAAACAAAACGTGAACATTGCGGCTATAGAGCCTATAGAGATCTCATAAATCTTCAGTTTTCTGCTTTATTGCTCACCTGCTGGCTCAGATGTATAGGTTTTTAAATCTGCATCAAGTCAGATTTTGTATTTGACTCCCAGATAAACCCAGCCTAAAGTGGGTACCATGTAATTTCCTGGGAAGTAAGATGGCCGCTGCAATGGTGACCAGATCACACTGGCTGTTGATTGGTCAACAGAACTGTGAGTCTGTCATCATATGCTCTGTGTGCCACTGACATAGAAAAGATCCTTTACTTTTACTTTTTTCCTTTATATAAATGATGTAATAATTTTCTCTGTAACATTATTCCAGTGTAAAAAGCATTCCTATTCATGCTGCAGAGATTACGAGAAAGCAGAATCTTTAGTCATCGATGCTAAAACTGGGAAGGGGAAAGATGTTGGAAAGGTAATTTTTATAACACGCTAACTTAACATATACCGTGTACCTAAGATTACAGACCCCACTAAAAGTGGCTGCAGTATTTGGGACTCTGCGAGTCAGAATAATTAATTAGAAAATTGAACTGTCTGAGGAAATGTGGATATACAGAAAGATTTGTTGTATTTCATTTTAATACAGACAACCAGATACAGAGGCTCTGAAGAGACAGGAATGAAAGAGTTGTTGAAGAAAAAAAGATATTTCAGCCACATTACTCTTATAAAACTATAATGTAGGAACAAGTTTCAGCAAAGGTACACAGTGATACAAGTGGGAAGATAATTTCAAGATATGGACAGACTGTAGTCTCAGAGAGTGTATATCCAGGGTGAAGGGTAGAGCATGTTGGAGATCAGCTGCAGCCAATTTGCATTGTGGAAATGGTAGAGATCTGGCTCAGGTATGGAACACAGCTTGTGTTTAAATTAAAAAAAAAATGTTTCTTAAAGATTCATGCTTTCTAAAAATTGTTCTGTCTGAACCATTGGTTTTATTCCAGTTATCCTCCCTGGTTCCGTTGCCCAGTTTTTAGCTGAAAAAGAATTGATCCACCCTTCTCCCTCCCCCACCTCCCCAGTAAGCATATCATGAAAGACATCTAGTTTAAGGGTGTTTCTTTCAAAGTCAGAGTGCAACTGTCACAGAACCTAGGAACCATCAGTCTGCAAACAAATAGGCCAGATCTATAAAATAGATGTGCGTTAAAACTCAGGTTCTGGAGCAAAACCAAAGTCTGGAAGTGGATGAACAGTCAGAACTTTCTACTGGAGTTTACAGCTGGTTAACACGAAGAAGAGATTCAAATTATCCATATTAAAAAAATTTTCTTCATTCATTCTATTAACCATAACTTAGTTATAACCAATTTAATTACATATTCAAGACAGTAAAAAAGAATGCCTGAATAAATTGTACAGTAGGTTATGTCTTCAGCACTCTCTCCTTCCTTTGAACCATTATACCTCAACTTTTCAGGTTGAAAAGAAAAGTAAACAGTTTTTAGCACAGCTGAAGAAGGCAGACAAGGAGTACACAGAAGCCAGTTACAAGGCAGAGTCCTCTCGCCAAGACTGGGACGTAACCGTTGCAAGAGTAAGTTTGCCATAATTTTTTTTCTCCATACAAAAAGTAATTCTGGTAATCACCTTTTTATTTTTCAGTGTGGTATGATGTTGGTAGTCATGTCTATCCACAACAGTTGCCCGGCTCGCTAGCGTAGTTGGTTAAATCAGACTCTGCGGCCACCGGGTGACGAACTCCTTGTGGTCTGGATTCACCCCCGGGAGTAGGCAGAAAAGCCACATTTCTTCCAGATTTACAGTATTTATCATGGAATCAAGGGTGAAAGGTTGCGATATCCATAGTCCTGAGCCAAAGGGTTAACATAACAATTCATGGTTTCTGGATATTTATCATATACTTTCAGTCACTTGTGACACTGATGACCTTCCATACATGATGTCATACTATCCAACATCTTGTGTCTCAGCCTCCTTCTGCTTCTTTTCCCCTCCAACTTTCCATCTGTCACGATGTACTCTGGTTTTCTCCTTCTCATGACTTGAGACCCAAAACATGTAGATTGTCTCCTTCTGATGTGGGCAATCAGTTTTCTTTGCGAGTCGGTTTCTTTCAAAACTTCATTATTCTTTTTTACTGTCCAGGGTATTCTCATTATTCGTCTTTAAAACCACATCTCTGCGGCTCCCATATAATTTTTAGTCTCCTGAAAACAGCATGTGTTAAAGTGATTAAGAAAATTTTGATTTTTGCAGTTAAAACAACACACATGCACGCACACACACACACACACACACCACACACAAAATACACACCCACCCACACACACACACACACACACACACAATACACACACACACAATACACACACACAAACACACTACACACACACACACACACAGATATGGGAGCCGCCATGATCTAATGGCTAGGCGCTCGCCTGCGGATCCGATGGTTATAGGTTCCGGTCCTGACGGAGCTGGACATTTTTGAAAAAAATGATCTTGGCTCACAGGTAGCAGGTAATTGGGTAGCAGGTTAAGTTCTAGGAAGCAAAGGCGGCCGCAGAGATGCTGACCACTTGACCCACCGAGTGCCGATTGGTCTACTATAAAATATAGGTCTAGCCCAATATAGTAAACCTGAAAAAGCATTGAAAAGGCTTCCTTACTTATATATACATACATACATCCATCCATCCATCCATCCATCCCTCCCTCCATCCATACATACATACATACATACATGCATGCATGCACGCACACACACTCACAGATATATATATATAAACTGGAGTCTACCTTCTTGTTTTATTCTTCTGTGTTCGTCACAGGACTTAAATGTCTTGTCATGGCAGTAATATTTGGCCTTTTCCCGGACACAGACGACTTCTGCGGGCATTTGTTGTCCCGGTTAGCCTTCTCAAGCTGTGTATCTTATCACCTGTTATCACATCTGCTGGAGTTAAATAATGTGCTTACATTTTGCAAACTTATTTAAACAGTTATTTTTCCTTTCACAACTGCTGTATATCTTCTCTAATTGTTTTTATTTTAATGTTTTAGGCTAGTATGTCTATGCAGTCTCTGGAAGAGGAGAGGTTGAAAACAATGAAAGATTTTCTCAACAAATATAACAGCCATATATCTGTTTTATCACCAAAGCTCACTCAGGTAAAGATGATATTTTGTTCTTTTATATAGAAGCAAGAATCCAACAAGCCAACAATGTCGCATACTAGCTTGCGCCAATTTTAAAACACCCTGCTGTCCTAGCTGAGATAAAAAGACAAATTATAAATACAATCTTTATACCGACATTAGGTTATCAATGTCAGACTTGGACATTAACAAAAGAACACGAGAGAAGACTAAACACCTGTGAAATGAGATGTTTGAGAATGGCTGCGAATAAAACCAGAAGAGATCGAGTGAGAAACGATGTGATTACAAGAACTATTGGAACCATACCCATCGTTAAATTTATTGAGAAGCAAAGAATGAAATGGTTTGGTCACCTAATGAGAATGGAACGAACGATGCCAGCATCAAGAGCATACAACATGAAAATCGAAACACCAAGAGGCAGGGGAAGACCAAGAAGAAGATGGATTGAAGGAGTCACTGACAACTTGAGACTTCATAACATCACGGCATATGAAGCGACCGAGCGCGCCCTGGCTCGGTTGCCGATCATCTGATAGACTGCGACGCCTAGCGGCACAAGCAGATTTTGACAAAAGAAGAAGATATAATCTTTATCAATGAAGTAAAGTTGCCATTTTGTTCTTTTATATGGTCTAGATCAGGTACACTTACCATTTTGTTCTTTTATGAAATCTCACTCAGATAAAGTTAGTTTAAAAAAAAAAAAAAAAAGCGAATTCTTACTCAGGTTAAGTTGCCATTTTTAATTAAATATAACTTTGTGCCCATAGTTTTTTTTTTTTTTTTTTTTTTTTTTTTTAGTTTAAAAAAAAAATGTATATTTTACTCAGATAAGTTATCACTTTGTTCTTTTAACAGGTTAAATCACATAATGTTGCCATTTTGTTCTTTTATCAAATCTTGCTCAGGCATACCATTTTGTTGTTTTGTCAAATTTCACACAGGGAAGGTGATTAGTCTGCCTTCTCACTTAAGCTCATCCAGGTAATTAGTCTGTTCTCTCCCTCAAGCTTATCCAGGTAATTAGTCTGTTCTCTCCCTCAAGCTTATCCAGGTAATTAGTCTGTTCTCTCCCTCAAGCTTATCCAGGTAATTAGTCTGTTCTCTCCCTCAAGCTTATCCAGGTAATTAGTCTGTTCTCTCCCTCAAGCTTATCCAGGTAATTAGTCTGTTCTGTCCCTAAAGTTCATTCAGGTAATTAGTCTGTTCTCTCACTAAAGCTCATTCAGGTAATTAGTCTGTTCTCTCCCTAAAGCTCATTCAGGTAATTAGTCTCTTCTCTCCCTAAAGCTTATCCAGGTAATTAGTCTGTTCTCTCCCTTAAGCTCATTCAGGTAATTAGTCTTTTCTCTCCCTAAAGCTCATTCAGGTAATTAGTCTCTTCTCTCCCTAAAGCTCATTCAGGTAATTAGTCTCTTCTGTCCCTAAAGCTCATTCAGGTAATTAGTCTCTTCTCTTCCTAAAGCTTATTCAGGTAATTAGTCTCTTCTCTCACTAAAGCTCATTCAGGTAATTAGTCTCTTCTCTCCCTAAAGCTCATTCAGGTAATTAGTCTCTTCTCTCACTAAAGCTCATTCAGGTAATTAGTCTTTTCTCTCCCTGAAGCTCATTCAGGTAATTAGTCTCTTCTCTCACTAAAGCTCATTCAGGTAATTAGTCTCTTCTCTCCCTAAAGCTCATTCAGGTAATTAGTCTCTTCTCTCACTAAAGCTCATTCAGGTAATTAGTCTTTTCTCTCCCTGAAGCTCATTCAGGTAATTATTTTATTCTCCCACCAAAGATCATTAACTGCCTCTTTGCAAGCATGTTGTAAAAGGTTTCTTATTTAGTGTTTTTTGAAAACAGATGTGTTGGGCAGGTACAGATATCACAGCCTAGCTGAAAACCACAAACTACCATGCTAACTGCCCTTTTTGACTCTTTGGTTACTGTTGATTTAAAACGAGCTTAAACTATCCTCTGATACTGAAAGAGATCAGGGGAAATGCAGAAGAAGAAGAAGAAACTCACAAAAGAATCATGTATCTGAGATGAGTATGAGACATAATGGTACAGATTAAGCAGAAAGAGAATATTGTAAATGCGAATAATCAGTTTTGAACAAATAGTCAAGATTATCTCTGAGAGAAACTGACACCTCACCTCTTTACCCTGTCAGCCACCATTGGTGCTGTGAGATGATAAAGTTTGGAACTCAGATGGTAAAAAATTAAAGGGCCCTTTATCATGCTTTCAGGTGTATTCGGTACATAGTGCTAGATCTATATTTTATAGACCACTTGGCACTCGGTGGGTGTTATGGTTAACATCATATCGACCGGCTTTACTTTTTCAGGATTTTACCTGATACCTGTTTAAGGTTGGGTCGACGTAGGAACCAAGGTATTTATAAAAAAAAAAAGTCTGGCTCCATTTGGATTTGAACTCATGACCTTCGCATCCACAACACAAGTCTAGCCACTACACCACCATGGCTTCATGGTAATACTTATAGAATTTTTAGTTGACTGGGTCAGTTTATTTTTGTTTCATTGAATACTTTCAGTATTTTGATCATCTCAATGAGGCTGTTATCATAGTTGACCTCCAACAAGACCTGAAAATTATTGTACAGCAAAAAGGTATCAAGGGACCACGGCAACCAGAACAGATCCTCATAGAAACTTATGTAAGTTGAACTCTTCTTCCCCCCCCCCCCCCCCCCCCCCCCAGCTCTTAATTAAAAAAAAAAGCTTTGTAAATAGCTATAGGAATAGTAATTTTTAGTGCGATAATCACACATTGGTAAATAGATATGTAAATGTTGCTTTCAGCTGTAAAAATAATTAAAATAATGTGGGCACAAAAATGTGTCTGCTGGCTTCACTGTTGGTTGTGGGCAGGGACGCTTTAGAAATTTAAAACGGTGTTGTCCCGTATCATTCACATTTTTAAACAAGAAAACGTTATTTTAAATACTGACGTTGATCGGTATATTGTTTTGTAAAATAAAATGTTATTTTCAACTGTATCAATAACTTCTCCTCCTGTCCTTTATCTTCCAGTGGAGCCTAGACCTTCCACTATCTGTAGTGAGTCTCATTTTTTTGGGGTGGGGGAGAGTGTAGTGAGTCTCATTTTCTCCCAGTTAATTTATGCTTGACAAATGACGTCAGTAATAAATTAACTGGGAGAAAATGAGAATCACTACACTATCCTATCCTTTCAGTTCGGTACTATCTCAGTAGATGAAAGGCACAGTTAGTTATTCAACAATTCAGACTGCTTTTGACAATTTCTGCATTGATATAGATGGAATTCAAATTACATTTCTGTTTTCCGGTCATTTATCATGACTGCTTAGAATTTTTGTCAATGAAACCAAAAGGCATACACATATATCAGATGGGTTCTATTTGCAGGCTGAAGATCCTCAAGTGACAATAGACAATGAAAGGAGGAAAGATATACTAAAAAACTACCTAATTCATATACACCAGTACATTGAGAAGGAACGGAAGGGAAGGGAAGGTACTCTTGTTTTTACAACATTGTTTATTTCCTTATTTTTTCTTCCCCTCTCACTTTCTTCTTTTCCATCTGCTACTGCTTCTTCCTTTCTCTTCTTCCTTCTGAATATGCAGCTGCTTCTTCTTCTTATTTTGCTTCCTTTTCAAAGGTCGTGGGTTCAAATCTGAATGGAACCAGACCTTTAAACAAAATTTTCTGAGCTCCCAGATCGACCCAGTCTTAAATGGGTACCACATAAAGTGATGGGAAGTAAAGGTGGCTGGCATGCTGTTGACCACATTACCCACTAAGTGCCATTTGGTCTCTAAAATATAGGTCTAGCACACTTAATGCCCAATGTGCCTGAAAAATGGTCCTTATATTAGAATTATGTGTCTGTTCACCAAAGACAATGGAAATACATAATGTGAAGTGTTTTATTTATCTGTAGGAGTAGAAAACTGGCCAAATGAGAAGACTGACCATTTTTATAGTGTAATATTAGAATCTTGTTCACTCACCGAAGACAACAAGCACACTATTTTTTTGTATTGTTTGTGTGTAGGTGTGGAAAAACTGGTGGAAGTCTACAAAAACAAGCCAAGTTTTGCAGATGCTGATGCTCAAGAAGAAACCAGACAAAAGTTGGAACAGGTTGGAAAGACATTCATTATTCTGTTGTATTTTTCCATAGTTTTCATTCCTGTTGAACTGTGCAGCCAAAATTACCAACGATCCTACCACAGCAAAATTCATAATCTGTTCAAATCACCATTAATTACTGGCCTAATTGGGGCTTTTTCTTCTTCTTATTGTTCACCGGCTGTAAACTGCAGCAGAAAGGTCTGGTTGTTCATCCACTTCTGTACTTTGGTTTGTTCAGAAAACTTCATTTTTGCATGCACATCCATTTTACAGATCTGGCTTATTTATATGCAGACTGTTAGTTCTTCACCCTTCAGGCAAATGCACTCTGATTTTGAAGGAAACTGCCCTAATTAGTTGCCTGTTGCCACATGCTTGTTAAGAGGGCCGTGAATCTGTTTGCTTTTCCCCCTCTTCCCCCCTCCTCCATATTGGAGCCCACATGGGAAAACATCATAGTTAATATACTGCAATGATTGTGGCATGTAGAGAGAATGGCAGATAACAGGATAACATATAACAAGAATGCTGAAGAAGAAGAAGAAGAAGAAGCAGTCCTACTGTTTTCCTATTTATGAACTTCCTTGTGGTATAGGAGGGAATTTAGTATTGCAGTGGCTACCATGCATGTCTGCTGGTCTGAGGGTAATGTTTTTGAACCCCCCTTTGAAGCAAGAACTAAGTTTCATTGACATGATCACCCAGGTTGACGTGCCTAAAATGGGTACCAGATATTTTTTGGGAAATAAAGGTTTCTTTTGATTACACTGGTCAGTTGATATTGATCAAATCTTTCCCCTAAGTGCTAGTTTTTGTTCTTCTGCTTTCACCCTTAAAGGGGCACTAGACACATCTGCGCTATCTGCACCTTTTGGGCCTGCACATCTGATTATCAGCAAACTCCTAAATAGTCACCTTTTACAACATGCTTATGGGGGGGGGGGGGGGGGGGTCTATCTCCACCTTTCCAAAGCGTGGTTCCAGAACCCACACAGGAAAAGCCAGGTGGTATGGAAATGTGGGACTGTCTCCAGATGCCTCATGGGATGACAAGAGTTCATTTGCTTAAATTTAGATGCTCTTGTTGAGGGCAGGCTGCACAGAAATGGTGAAATATAACAGAGGTCCACAGATAGGCAATAGTTTAAATGCAAAACAGTGTAAAAGAAGACAGAGTGAAATCAGTAATGTTATAGTGAACTGCCAGAACAGCAACAAATTTGGAAGATTCAGTGGGGCTGATTTTCGTGTAAATACAGCAGTTGAGAGCTGCAGGGGCTTAGTAGTTAGTATGAAGACTGTGTAGTGTGGGAGTCAGTCCTTATCAGAGACAGAATGGTTTTCTTTTTGTGACCGGGTTTTGCTGTGGGGTGGACCCAGCCTCATAAAATGAGTGTGAGACCATTCTCTGAATTTTCTAGTAATTACTGAGAAAAGAGAGGTAAGTGGCTAGCGCACCTCATATCTCACAGCCTAAAAGATGTGAACCAGATGCTTCACATCCAATAGCAGTATCTCCTGTCAGATGATCTTTACATTAAAAAAAAAAAACAGTTAAATTAATCAGTCAGGGGCCACCACCACAATGAAGGTTTGCTGAAATGGACCTCCAACACACTCTGTCTCTTGTCTGGGTTGTATGCTGTCTAAGACTGATGTTCTTTCATCTCTTGATGTTGTCCTCCCACTTGTATCATTGTCTACCTCTTGCTAGAGTTTAGCTTTTCTCTCCTGTTTGTATTTAAATGGTGTTTTGTCTTTGTTATTTCAGTTGCTGAAATATCTCACTTGTCTTTTTTTTTTCTTTTTATAAATTTTTGTCAGCAGCTCTCTTGTCATTTCCAGTCTCTCAGAACCACAGTATTTTATTATCTTTGTTGCCATGAAATAGGCCATGTTCTTCTGAATGTCCACGTTTTTTTTTTCAGGGACTCAGTTTTCTAGTCGCTTGTTCACTATCCAGGTTTTCTGCATTGTTGGTTTATGTATACATAACATGTGATGATTTTCCTATAAAATGAGTTGTTTATCTTTCTAGATGTCAATAATTTTCACATCTTGTTAGAAGATATTGTTAACAAACATCAGTTAACCAACACAGCTTAGATATTTGTTTCAGCTATATATTTATATGTTGTTTAATATGTACAGGCAACCTTGATGCTCAACTTTCTGGAAGCTAGTCACTATAAAATCAACAGCAGCCTGTGTAAAGCTGAAGGCAAAACGCAACCACCTAGTGTGTTTTCCCAGTACATCGAAACAGTCAGGGACAAGCAGGTGTGTAGCTCCTTTGTTTTGATATGGTTATGGTTGATTGAGGAGCAGCTGGCCGAATGGTTAAGAATGATGGGTTCTCATTCGGGAAACTAAGGTTTGAATTCATGGTAAGATGATGGATTTTTGTCTGTCGATGGTGGAAATAATAGTCCAACCAGCAGAGTCCATGACACCAAAAGAAGAAGAAGAAGAAGCAGTCCTACTGTTTTCCTATTTATGAACTTTCTTGTGGTAGGGGAGGGAATTTAGTATTGCAGTAGCTACCATGCATGTCTGCTGGTCTGAGGGTAAGGTTTGTGAAACCCCCTTTGAAGCAAGAACTTTTATGCAAAACTTGGCTTGTTTTTGTAGACTTCCACCAGTTTTTCCACACCTACACACAAACAATACAAAAAATAGTGTGCTTGTTGTCTTCGGTGAGTGAACAAGATTCTAATTTTACACTATTAAAAATGGTCTAGTCATGCCCCCCCCCCCCCCCCCCCCCCCCCCCCCGTAAATCCACAGACTCATCATACTCCTCATTGTGTCCCACCATAAAAACTGGTAAGTACTGAGAGTAAAGACTGTTTTTATGGTTGTTGACTTCACCAGTGTGTGCACGTCTATAGGGATGTGCAGCTTTCTCGTGTACAGTATTATCATAATGAGAGGAGCGGGGTATTACTGAGAAGAACCCACATCAGAAAAAAAAACATTCTTTATTCTTGGTACATCGCAAGATGGGAAAAAAGCTTAATACAACGCATGAAAGTTACCCCATCTCGTCAGCCGCCTGATTTCTTAGTGATTCTCACAGGCTGTCCTGTTTTGGATGGGTGTCATATGTTCCTCGTTTTCACTAGCACATCCACCACTGACGACAACCACCGCCAACGATCGTAACAATTCTAAAACAATAATTTGATACTAACAAATGTTGTGCTTTTGCTGCTTGGCCCTGCAATACCTCTTCCTTGCACACAGGCCTCTTTGATGCCTGAGTACTAATCACAACAACAACACATTCCAGCAATAAGATTCTGTCCCAGAAAAGAGAGTTGGAAAAAAAAATCAGCACTTTCATGTGGGAGACAATGTGTTGATCGAGTCAAACGAACCTGAGACACTTTTCAGCTTACTATATATAGACAGTGTAGGAAGACATCTCATCCACCCTGCAACATATGACAGCCCATGGGAACCACTACAAAATCTCACTGCCGACAATATGGTGTGATTTTCATGAGTAGTACCAAAAACTTTCTTCCAGGTAGATTATGCTAAGAAGAACACAGAAGGAGAAGAGAGGCGAAGGACCGAGAAAAAGGAATTTAGAGAGTTGGACATCATTGCTTAGAAAATCATCCAAATCAGAAATGATTGACAGTACAGGAGATAGAAGGCCGTGGGCAGAAATGACTTCTGACACTACACGGCTTGGACTTAAAAAAGAAGATAACTGGGTTGTCTTTCATCATAGGAAATACAATGGGACAGACTGCCGTCTACTGTTCCACCCACCCATCCCACTAGGGCAAGTGCTGTTTATCACGGAACTACTTTTTTGTCCAAAATAGTCCTAGCATGTATAATATTGTCATAACATGTATTAGGGGAGGGGGGTGGTAAAGGAATCTTTGTATGCCAGTAGCACCTCAGACATATTCACATTGTTATAGACAAGTTGGTCTCGGTGTTTGTTGTGGTCAAGCTGACACTGACAACCTTTACTTCCAAGGACATTTCCTAGTACCCATTTTAAACATGTTTACCTCTTATATTTATAAATAGAACAGTCAAGTGTTTTATATTTTTAACACTGTATGGCAGCAGTGCATTTCCTGGAGGGAGGAAATTAGGAAGGAAGTAGGGATTATTAAAAAAAGGGGTTTGCAGACATGTCAAGGACTGACCAAATGAAAGTTTGAGAATCCCTGCAGCTCAGAAAGTTGCATCCTAGATGTCAGTCCAACTGGGCAAATTTCAGTTATCCCTTTCAGCCTCTTAGCAAAATTATGTCAGTTGTTTTGGTTACACCCAAGTTCTTTCTTGTGTTCCCTGCTGTCTAAAATGGATAAGGTTTTATGAAAGGAGAGTTTGATATTTATATAATTATTTCTTCTTCTTCATATTCACCAGCTGTGAACTTCAGCCAAAAGTCCTGAGTGGTGTGTACACATGCATTTTACAGATATGACTTACTTGCATGCAGATTATTGGTTTCTTGCCTCTCAGGCAGATGCACTCTGATTTCAAAGGAAGAACCTAATTAGTCAACTCTTATGGCATGTTTTTAGGGAGGCAGTGGGTCTATTCTTGTTTTCCGCACACTGGGGACCCGGGAATCCACACGGGGAATATAATCGTCTGAAATCTTTAAAATCAGTCTTTATGTTTGATGAATACAAGGAGTAGCAGAAGGCTTATTCCTGGCTTTTATTTCAGGGTCTTCTAGTTAGCACCATGCGTCTGCCTTTGAACCTGGCCTTGGAAGGTTGTAGTGATTATTTACCAAGTCATCCACCTAATGATTACTACCAGGAAGTCACGTCTCCAGAAGATGAATTCAGTAAGTTGTGCAGCTCAGTGAGTCAAGTACCATATCCATAATGAAGTCTCTGTAATATGCCTCCAGCAGGCTCTGCCCTGTGTCTTCATGGTGCACTTTTTCTAGTCCATCTCTCTTCTAGTCCATCTCTCTTCTAGTTCATCTAACTTCTAGTCCATCTCTTTTCTAGTTCATCTCTCTTCTAGTTCATCTCTCTTCTAGTCCATCTCTCTTCTAGTCCATGTCTCTTCTAGTCCATCTCTCTTCTAGTTCATCTAACTTCTAGTCCATCTCTCATCTAGTCCATCTCTCTTCTAGTTCATCTAACTTCTAGTCCATCTCTCTTCTAGTTCATCTCTCTTCTAGTCCATCTCTCTTCTAGTTCATCTCTCTTCTAGTTCATCTAACTTCTAGTCCATCTCTCTTCTAGTCCATCTCTCTTCTAGTTCATCTAACTTCTAGTCTATCTCTCTTCTAGTCCATCTCTCTTCTAGTTCATCTAACTTCTAGTCCATCTCTCTTCTAGTTCATCTCTCTTCTAGTTCATCTCTCTTCTAGTTCATCTCTCTTCTAGTTCATCTCTCTTCTAGTCCATCTCTCTTCTAGTCCATCTCTCTTCTAGTTCATGTCTCTTCTAGTTCATATCTCTTTTAGTCCATCTCTCTTCTAGTCCATCTCCCTTCTAGTCCTCTTTCTAGTCCACTTCCACCAGATAGTGCACCACAGAGAGCCCTTTCACTGAGATGCAATGGAAGCAGAGCTAGAGATCTATCTCACAAATAATTTTTTATTAGCCCTATTGTCTTGCCCATTGAGTTTTCTGGTTTAATTGTTTGTTTAGCCTCTTCTGTTCAGCGAGTAAGTAACTAAAGGACCGTTTTCCACACCTTTAGGTGTATAGGGCATATAAGGCTAGACCTATATTTTATAGACAAATCGGCACAAGATGGGTAGTGTGGTCAGCATCACGCCGACTGCCTCTACTTCCCGGGACTCCACCCAGTACCCACTCAAGGCTGGATTGACCTGGGAGCCAAGGTCATTTTTTTTTAAAAAAGTCCGGCTCCGCCAGGGAGCAAACCCACGACCTTCTAATCCGTGGCGAGTGTCTAACTGCTCCGCCACGGCGACTCCCCTTCTGTTCAGTACTGTATTACTTAAATTACTTTGGACTCACACTGTGGATATTTTAAATTGAGCTAGAACTTTTTCAGGTATAAGAAATTGTAAGTAATTACAGGCTCAGACTGAAAGAGTTAACCAGCAACATTTAGCAGTAATCGAAATGAACATATTTCACATATTTCTGGTTTTAACTCTTCACAATTCCTGACATCGATTTATTGGTTTGGCTTGGAGTATAAGAGTCGCTGGTCAAGCGGTTAAGAATTCTGGGCTCTTATTTGGAAGACACAGGTTTAAATCCTCTGTAATGTGATGGATTTTTTTGTTTGTTGGGGCAAAGTAAAATCCTACCCCGCACAGTCCGTGGCAACTACACTAGCCAGATAGTGCTAAATTCTGAAGCTGAAGACTTCCCCTATGCTATGCTCCTTAAAAGGTGGTAAATAGATGCAGTAAATAAGAAGTTAAGGTCTAAGATTCATAATAATCTCCCATTTTTCAGTTTTAAGGTATATTAACATAGGTACATAGTATTTTTGGACAAAAACAGTATGTTGATAGTGATTTTGTGTGTCTGTGTACAGTTGATGAAGAATTCCCATCTCCGGCTGTGATTGGTCATTGCAAAGCTTTGTACGACTACAAGGCCAGTCAGACAGATGAGTTGTCCATTAAAGCAGGTGTGTTGTTAGCTGGTAAATCATCATTCTTCTTCTTCTTCTCAGTCTTTGTTATCATCATCCTCTCTTCTCTTCTCCCTCCTTCACTGTAGTCTTTTTCTTCTTATTCTTCTCCTTTTTCTCCTTCCCTGTATTTTTCTTTTCTTGTATCTTCTTCTCCTCCTCTTCATATTCTCCTTATCCCCTTTCCTTGGGGCTTGTGTGCCCAATTTATGACCCTTTTAAAAATAGCGTTGGTTCTGTTGTTTGTTCATTTGTTTGTTCCTATTGCTGCTTTTTCAACCCCTGCTTTTCGTTTTTCGGGGCCTTCTGCATTTTCTTTGCTCCTTCTTGTTTCCTCCTCCCAGTGGACTGAAAGGTTAAGTCAACGTTTACCAAGCCATTTATAAACTTGTTCAAGATTTATTATATTTTACAGTTAATCCTTTGAACAGGATGAAGTAGCCACTTGCATGCCAACTTTCCTTGGTCACATCTTATGACATGCATGGCAGGTTCCGGTGTGCCTACTCATCCTGTATTATAGACAATAGTGTCACAAAGACAGTGACATGTTAGCCTGTAAATTAAAAGTTTGTGTTGGTTTTTGTGTGTTTCTTTTTGTTTTACCGCTGAAGATTTGCATTCTTTAGCCATAATGTCTCAAGGAGGAGAATCAAACAGTTACAAATCCTAGAAATCCTGTTTTTCTTCTTCTTCTTCGCGTTCTCCGGCTGTAAACTCCGGTGGAAAGTTCTGGGTATTCGTCCACCTCCGGACATGTTTCAGAACATGAGTGTCATGTGCACATTCGTTTCACACATCTGGCTTATTTGTAAGCAGGTTCCTTTCCTCTCAGACAGATGTACTCCAACTTTAAAGGATGCCCTCAGTTATTTGACACCTACAACATGCTTGTTAGGGCTGCAGTCTCTTGGTTCCTTGCCTCTCAGACAGATGTACTCCAACTGCAAAAGATGCCCCCCCAGTTATTTTACTCTTATGACATGCTTGTTGGGGAGGCAGTGGGTCTGTTCTTGTTTTCCCCACAAGGGGGCCTTAGAACCCACACGGGGAGAAACCCCATTCAGCTGTATAGCCATATAGCACAACTATATGGGGTACCACAAAACCAGTAGTATAATGGTTGGGGGGGGGGGGGGGTGGTATGTTAATGAGCTTACACTAAAGGTAAAGTATGAATAAGGTGAAAATTAATGTCAAGAGAGCATTGACTTCATTTTACCAGGTTATCCCATATGGCTTTGTCTCTCTCCACTAAACAGCGCGACACCCACCAAGATGGTCACATGAAGCACAGATTCTGTAGTTCCAGCATACATGTGTATGCTATTGGCTAGGCTGAGACTTGCATTGTGTGTCAGTTTTTTCGCAAGAAATGGTGATGGATGTTATGTGTTTTTTTGGGGGGTGAGGGGCGGTGAGTTTTTTTGGGGAGGAGGGGGGTGGCTCAGGAGCAGAGAGCTGTAGGGTAATCGTTTGCTATGAAGTTGGAACTGTGGTTACCTTACCTTACCTTATTAAAGTTTAAAAATAATTGGAAAAACATAAAGTGTATGTCAGTTTTAAATAAATTAAAAGGAACCATTTTACACCAGTGGCACATCGGGCTGAACTCACATTTTTTATAGACCTATCAGCCCTCGTTGGGTGTTATAATCAACAACATGCCGTTTGCATTTACTTTCCAAGTCATTACTTGGTACCCATTTTAGGGCTGGGTAAACCTGAGAGCAAAGGTAAATTTGTGAAAAATCCTCTTTGATTTGGATTTGAACATAAGATCTGCAGTCCGGCAAGCAAGTGTCTAGCCACTACACTACTGCGACTCTCCAGCTTTACAGAACCAGTTGAACAAAGGTGTTTCTGGCAATTAGTCTTCATCAGTAAAACAAAACATTACGGCAACAACAACAACAACAAAAAATAAGAAAGAAAAAAATGATTCATAAATGTATTGTGGTATTGAAATGTTATGTAAAGATGTTATTTTTTGACATCATCATGCGCCTTGCCAACTGGTGTTGCTAATCCACTACCTTTATCACTAACAGCATGTATCATTTAACATGCTGACACTGCCATGACATGAGGAAGGGCTGTCAAGAATCTCTTTCATAATCTTTATTTTGCCTCTCTTTTCCATAAATCCTTCCAATGGTTACAGCTTGGTTTCATTTCCAACTTCTCACAACATGAAAAAGAAATAAATACATGATTATTGTCTTTTTCTGATGTTTGTGTCAAGATTAATGTAAGTAAAAGTAAGTAAAGGACCCTTTCCACACCTTTAGGCGTATAGGGCATATAGGGCTAGACCTATATTTTTATAGACCAACGGCACAAGATGGGTGATGTGGTCAGCATCACGCCGAAGTTTAATGTACAAGGATATAAACTGACCCTACATGATGCATTGTTTGGGACAGTAAGAGTTAAGGTCCCTGACACACATCCCATCACCTGGCTACTTGAAACAACACTAGCTAACAGTTTCTATGTTTTTCCTGTTGCAGGTGATGTCATCAATGTCTATGAGAAGCTGGGTGATGGCTGGTGGGAAGGAGAACTCCGGGGTGTCCGTGGCATCTTCCCTTCAACCTATGTTCAAGAATGTTGACGATGATTTGCAGCAATGAAATGATGTGAATAAACTCACAGATGTTGTGTAGAGACAAGCTGTGCCTTCAGGGAACTCTCGGCAACAAAAAGTTCTCTAAAAGTCTGGACATTTCTAAGTGGTTCTTGTGAGTGTCTGATAATGTGAAGATTCCTGAGCATTGCTGGTGTCCATTTGATTCACTCAGCAATAGTGGATCATACAGCTTTCACATGAGGATTTCAAGGAGTGTTTCCTTAGAGCTGACATCACTGCACTCAAGAAACTCCTGTATGTGCTCTGTCTCTCTTGGCAGATATTGGAGTGTAAGGGTTGTTCCTGTAGTACATTGGTTATAATTCACTTATGCCATCCACATCTTGATCACACTTGCTTGTAATGCCAAACATCTCAGAAGGATTGATACATCAAGCAAAGAAATATGACAAATGTCTGGTTACCTGCTGATATCAGCAGTTAAAACTCTGAGAAGATTTTGACACACTGGGCACGCCCTCAGTGGAAACGAAGAGAACATCATCAAACATGCACTGAAACAATTAGATTGAAGAAATCAAGCCTTCCAAGAAAAACCATAAGGTGAATGTTAATGAGAGAGGTCAAAGGTAATGGTATTTGATTCCATCCAATGATGTATAAGAGATTTCACAGGCTAGAATGGAATAGAGGAATAGCCAAATGTGACATATAAACAGCACAGCAGAATGTGATACAAGATAAAAATATTTCATTGTAGAAGATAAAACAGAAAGTGTGAGACAGGATGCACTATTTCATTGTAGAAGATAAACAGAAGATGTGATGCAAGACACAATATTTCTGTGTAGTGAAAGTACAGATGGTCTCATTGGATACAACATTTCAAGTGGACATTGTATTTATTATGTTACTTGGAAATTCAGACCTGCTTGCTATCAAAGTGCTAATTGTATATCACATGCGTATGTTTTTGTGCTTCATACGGTGTACATGTGTACATGAACCTTTTCTCTCACCTGTCTTATGTGTTGTTGAGAAAATATCATGTAGTGATCCCCCTCCCCCTCCTTTCCCAGACTTCCGAACACAGCTGAAGTGTGTGTTATGTTAAAATAGCTTAGCTGAGGTGTGTGTTCCACACGTTATATTGCAATAGTTCAGGCTTCCATAGACAGCTGAGGTGTGTGTTCCACACTTTATGTTGAAATAGCTCAGACTTCCATACTCATCTGAGGTGTGTGTTCCACACTTTATGTTGAAATAGCTCATACCTCAATACACATCTGAGGTATGTGTTCCACACTTTTATGTTGAAATAGCTCAGACTTCCATACACATCTGAGGTGTGTGTTCCACACTTTTATGTTGAAATAGCTCAGACTTCCATACACATCTGAGGTGTGTGTTCCACACTTTTATGTTGAAATAGCTCAGACTGAGGTGTGCGTTCCACAGGTTATGTTAAAATAGCTCAAACTTCTATACACCGCTGAGGTGTGTGTTCCACACTTTATGTTGAAATAGTTCATTCTTCTATACACAGCTGAAGTGTGTGTTCCACATGCTATATTGAAATGTCTCTGAAATTCATACACAGCTGAGGCATATATTGCAACTCTATATGTCATTTTGTATCCAGGCCAGTCAGCCACATGACAGAATGATAAGGTGTTATTACAGTATGTTTAATACCATATTACAGTATGTTTAATACCATACAGTTCTCGTATCCCTTAAACCCCTAACTGACCTCCATACAAAAGACTAAGGTCTTGATATGTTCCACAGCTTTAGGTAGGGGAGAAGCAAGCAAGCAAGAAAGATATTTGTCTTGTACTATATTTCAAAATACCATATCCTGTGATTTTAGGTTGTGCTCATGTAAGTTTATATACTGTCACCATGATATAAATTATTATTTACCATATAAGATATTCTCAATTTTGGATGCTTTCTTGATAATCCATTATAACTTGTGTTTCTGTAATGTGTTTTTTTCCTGATTGAGGTGACTGCTGTCAAACTAAGAATAAAGATGTAAAAAATGAAAACGAATCTTGACAAACAGATGCTCAGTACTACGCAAAAAATTTCAAGTTTTTTGCCGAACGGTTAAGCAAGACACACCAAAAAAAAAAAAAAAAAAGGTAAAGGACAATTTTTCAAACGAGTGGTGGGTATGGTGTTTGACTCGTAGTTTTATAGACAGATGAATCAATACTTAATGGGTGATGTTGTTGTCAGCATGATGCTGGCCGTCTTTACTTTCCATTCTTTGCCTGGTACCCATGTAAGGTCTCCCAGTATGGTTTCAAACCTAAGACCTTCATCTTGGCAGGTGAGCATGTAGCTGCTGCACCACTGTGACTCACTTTTTCAAACCATAAGAGAGCAGAAATCTTACAATTAAATAGAGACACAAATAATTCAGCAGTGATGAATCATTTAGGAAATCCATTTCCCGTACTGTTTGTTTGTTTGCATTCGCTGGCTGTAAACCCCAGTGGCAAGACCTGGTTGTTCATCCACATCTGGCCTTTGGCTACAGGTCTTGCTTATTTGTATGCAGACTATTGGTTCCTTGATTTCAGGCAGATGCACTCCGACTTTGAAGGAAGCCCAGAATTAGTCGACTCTTACGACATACTTGTTGGGGAGGCAGTGGGTCTATTCATGTTTTCCCCATAAAGGGACGAAACCCACACAGGGAGTTTCCAATACTGAAACGGATTCTGTTTACTTTGCCATCACTATTGGATTGGGCGTGTTTTTTGTTAGTGCATTAATTCAGTTGTGGGGGGAATTGTTATTTCTGTTTCTACATCTGCATCTGTCCTTAAAGGAGCGGTTGCCATGCTGCGTTGTTGTTTACACATAGGTTGTGATATCTCAGCCATTTGGCCCAACACATCCAGTTGTAGAAAACACTTAATTAGCCACCAACATATATGACAGGTATGTATGTTTATGTATTGTATGAGCTAGCACACAACTGATCTGTTGTAATGGCTGCTTCCATCAACGGTAAACTGAGTTAAAAAAAAAATGGTTGGCAAGTTCATCACTTATTTAAGGGGTGGTGGGTTTATTCTACTTTTCTCCAAAATGGAGCTCCATAACCTATACAGGAGTAAAAGTAAAGGATCCTTTTCCCACGCCTTTCAGGTGTATTGGGTACATAGGGCTAGACCTATATGTTACAGACCAAAGGGCACTTGGTGGGTTATGGGGTCAGCATCATGCCGGCCGCCTTTACTCCCCAGGACTGTACCAGGTACCCACTCAAGGTTGGGTCGACCTGGGAGTCAAGGTCATTTTTAAAGAGAAAAAAAACGAACTACAGCCTTCCTATCCGCAGCGGAGTATCTAGCTGCTAGACCGCGGCGGCTCCCATACAGTAATAATGCTTGTATTTTATTTTAATGTCTTGTTTGTCAAAAAGTCTGTGGAGATGTTTCGAGGTAAAACTGGCTCAGTCTCTCTCTGCAGAGATGCTGCTTACCCACACAAGACATGACCCCAACCTGCTGTGCCCCATGCCCCACCTAAGCCTTTCTAAAATTCTTATGACCCCTGTGTAACTAAAACTCTGGTTGAGTCCATTTTTAAATTGCACCACACCCCCCCCCCCCCCCCCTCCACATACTTTAACAGTCAGATTGTCCTCTTAACAGTCATATCGCTCACCTGTGGAGCATGGGCCTCATGTTAGGAAACACTGGTCTAGAACTTGAGTTTTTTTTGCATACACATCCTTTTTACATATCTGTGTTTTTTTTTTTTTTAATATGCAGACAGTTGATTCTTTGTCTCTCAGGCAGATGCAGTCTGACTTAGAAGGAAGTTCCCCTAATTAGTTGCCTTATACGGCATGCTGGGGGGGGGGGGGGGGGGGGGGGGGGTCTGTTCTTGTTTTCCTCCAAAATAGGGCCCGAAACCCATACAGGGAAAATGGTGGTGTCCTGAAACTGAACTCACAGTCTTCAGAGTTTGAGGTTGACATGTTAGCCACTGAGACCCTGTAGCTGAAAAAAGACTGAGTGTTATGTTTGACGTTGTGTATGTCCTCAGTCTTCTTTTTCCATATTGACATATTTGTTTCTGTTGCTTTATTTCTACTAGACTGTCAGCTTTCAGTTGAGTGATTTGTACTTTTAAATCCCTCTGCGCCTCACCGTGGTTGTAAACTTTGTAAAATGTCTCGGACTGCTAGTCTAAATGTTATCTTTCCAGTTTTATTATTACCAACTTCTTGCTTGCCTGCCTTCAACATTCCCTCATTATGGTTTATAAATGATTGTTATATCTCTTAATATGGCTGAAATGTTTCAGTTATCACGTCTTTGATTCATTTCTACAACTTTTCAGAATCTCAGTAATTGATTGTTGTTTCTTTACTTAAAATGCAACCTATTCGTCTGAATATCCACATTTCCAGGGCCTCAGTTCAACTTTTTAATTGCTTGTTGGTTATCCAAGTTTCAGCACCTTATAATAAGCTTGAGTATTCAGAAGCATTTGTTAATTCTCGCTGGTCTGTTAAAGTTTTGTTTATTTCTCAGTTTTCCTCTTGCTGCATTCTCATTGTTAATGTCTTGTTTATTTCTTTCAATGGTAAAATTGTTCACATGCTGTATAAAATATGTTTGTATATGTTGAAACTCACAAGCAGCTCCAGTTGTTTGTGTTGAATTTTAAAACATTAAATGTTTATTTACTGTACAGGGCTGTGTACAGGGCTGTGTACAGGGCTGTGTACAGGGCTATATACAGGGTTATGTACAGGGCTATGTACAGGACTGTGTACAGGTTTGTATACATTGCTGTATGTAATTTAAATCACACCTTGACTTTACACATGTGAAAGAACATATTTGTGTGTAAGTTCACATAGCGGAAATGTGTTTATGGGAATTTGCTCATCTACTGTTTTTTTTTTCAACAGCTGTAATATTGTGTTTCTGGGAATTTGCTCATGTAATTGTTGTGTATGTTAGCTTGCAGTTTATAATTTATGTGAAGAACAGAATATTCAGCCTTACTGGAATATATCGCTACTAGTGGTCTGTTTTATTTATTGGCTTAGTCATATGATTACAAGTGTTAATTTCTATTTTTGTGTGTGTGTGGGTACGCAACTCCTTCTTGTATGTATGTTTGCTGTAAATTTTCCCTTGAGGTTTCGATAATCAGTAGAGAGAAGGGTGATGTGAAGTGAAAATCATTCAATTTGTATTATATTTTTTTGCTTCAAGTGTACATAATTCTTTTTCTTAGCTTTCCCCAGCTGTAAACTCTGGCGGAATGTTCTGGTTGTTCATCCACTTCTTAACTTTAGTGTTTTTTTTCTTCACCAGAACTAGAGTTTTGCATGCATATCCAATTTACAGATCTGCCTTATTTGTTTACAGACTGTTGCTGGTTCCTTGCATCTTAGGCAGAAGTACTGTGACTTGGAAGGAAAGCTTATATGATTAGTGCAATTTGTTTCCATAAGGTTTTGATAAATGCAACATTGCAAGAAGTATGTTATAAAGAAGAATTACATCTTTAAATATAAAACACCAAACCAATTTTTATTGATTGTCTTTGTTGTTTCATCTGTATATTAGAATTTTTTTAATATTTTTTTTTTTAGAATACAGTCTTCTTTAGGAAATAAACTGTCACTGACCTATTGAGTGCTGCGTATGCAGGGAGGTTTTGCCTTAGCTGAGAGTAATAAAGGCTACTTGACCAAGCATGTTTCTCGCTGTCTAGCAACTAGGATGTGTGTCTCATCTCCAGTAGACAAGAATCCCCAGGGCTAGAACAGATATTCTGTGAGATAATCATCCTAACGTTTTAACCAAACAGTACGTTTATATTTCTTTTTTTTCTTATCATCTCCCAGTGAAGCATAGGCTCTTGGCCACCTCACCCCAAGCCTTTTATAGTTCATCTTTGTTGTATTTCGCAGCTAGAGAGAATATTATACTCATCTTTTGCTGGAATTTGTGACCTTCTGATTTGGTTTGGTCATTTCTTTCTTTTGATGGCATGTGACTAGTGCATCTGGTTACGATCTTTATTGCACCTTACCCTTCTCTAAACAGTTGATCTGTTCTTTCATTTCTGGGCACACTGCAGTAGTTTGCAGAAGTTTTTGGAGACAAAAGGTGTTAAGGAAAGGAATTGGCCACAGCAGCTCATGCCACAGCAGCTCATGCCACAGCAGCTCATGTCACAGCAGCTCATGTCACAGCAGCTCATGTCACAGCAGCTCATGCCACAGCAGCTCATGCCACAGCAGCTCATGCCACAGCAGCTCATGCACAGCAGCTCATGCCACAGCAGCTCATGCTACAGCAGCTCATGACACAGCAGCTTATGCCACAGCAGCTCATGCCACAGCAGCTCATGCTACAGCAGCTCATGACACAGCAGCTCATGCCACAGCAGCTCATGACACAGCAGCTCATGCCACAGCAGCTCATGCTACAGCAGCTCATGACACAGCAGCTCATGCCACAGCAGCTCATGCCACAGCAGCTCATGACACAGCAGCTCATGCCACAGCAGCTCATGCCACAGCAGCTCATGCCGCAGCAGCTCATGTCGCAGCAGCTCAGGCCACAGCAGCTTAGGCCACAGCAGCTCATGTCGCAGCAGCTCAGGCCACAGCAGCTCAGGCCACAGCAGCTCATGCTACTGCCTAGAACAGTGTTCTTCGACAGGCAGAAATGTTCTGGTCATCCGCCAGAAATGTCTCTCAAATCATTTAGTGGCCACATAATTCCGGCACTACATTGCTGCATACATTTGCTAACCTCTAAGCAGATGTTGCCAAAGAACTGCATGGCTGTTGGGTGAACAGTCGTTAACGAAGGCAGGCAGGTGGATGTAATGTCCTAACCAGCTAATAATAAGGGTACTGCTGGGGTGACTGTTTATTAACCCTCATATAATGCTTAAAGTCAAAATGGACGCTAGGCGTGGCCACCTTTTTTTCCCTGCCAGACAGTGGCTGGGGCATTTTTTTGCTCCATTGTAGACTGGAAGGATATAGTTTCGTTGCCCAGCTTCTAAGTTGAGTGCATGGCACGACACTGTAAGCTACGTGTATTTTTCGTTGACACAGGAGTGGAGCAACTATGGGGTGACCCATTTGCTATGAAGCTGAAACTAGGATTACCAGATTACCAGATGTTGCATTGGCAGAAAATTTGGAACTTATCACAAACTCCCCCATACAAGAGTTTCTTCCCTTACCATTTATGCCGCGGAGGGTCGTACTGCCTGTTTTATGTTGTGGGGGTGTTATGAGATGGCTTCACTCAGCGCTCAGTTGCCGTATATAATGTTTGTGGAAGGTTTTGTAGTTGTGAGTCTCTTTGAGGTGCTGCAGGTGCCTGTGTACAAGTAAGAAGCAATGCAAAGAGAAGCACCAAAGGCGCGGCTGTTCGTGAATATGGAAACTGGGATGTGTTTTTATTTCTATGTTCCTTGGCGACGGCTTTCCCCCAGAAAAAGAAGTCACTGACATGGAACATAGGAATATAAAAACATCATAGTTTCCATACTCCCAAACTGTCAGGCAAGTAGCACAAAGTGCAAATAATCACTCAAGTGAACGGTGACAACACGAGAAATGAGACAATGGTTGCTGTTGGAAAAAAAATATACTTGACACCCCCACAACATAGGACAGGCTGTGCAACCCACCGAGGCATGAATGAGAAGCAAAGGAACTCTCGTCATGTGGGTGGGTTTGTGATAAGTACCCAAAATTGTACTTTTATGACATCAGATTTCAGAAATAAATTGCTGTCTACATTTTGCGTGTTTTGATTAGCTGTCAGGTAAGGACCCTTTTCCATGCCTTTAGGCGTATTGGGCACAGAGGGCTAGACCTATATTTTCTAGACCAATCAGCACTTGATGGGTGATGTGGTCAGCATAACGGCAACCACCTTTACTTCTGAGACTTTTACCTGGTACTCACTTACAGCTGAGTCGACCTGGGAATCAAGGTTATTTTTGAAAAACTCCGGCTCTGTCAGAATCCGCACCCATGACCTTTGGATCCGCAGGCAAGTGTCTAGCCGCTACACCATGGCAGCTTTCTGGCTGTCACATGGTCCGCAAACATTTCTTCCTTGTCTTGCTGGTTTATGGATGTAATAAGGTAGAAGAACTCTGACCTGGAATTTGTGATCTAACACTTGGCACTCAAATGGCACTATCTGCCAGTGGACTTGAATTGCCTCTGTTTTACTTCATCGTCCTGATTATCCCATAACACTGCGTGTCATTGGGTCACCAGTTGTTGTTGATTGTCTGATCAGCTCTCTCCACCTTTGATGGTAAAATGCAATGGACTTCATGGTTGCACGCCTAAGGCTGTATCCAGTTCTTTCTTGGTCCACCTCTTCTCCTCTTCCCCTCTACTGAGCCCTGTAGTATAGTTTTTGGGAGGCCGTTAAATCATGTTTTATGTCTATACCACTGTATTTTCCTCTTTTTCAATGTAGTTAAAAGAGGTTCATAGTTGCCAATGTGCTGAATAATTGTATAGCAAATCCAGAATGATATGCCAAGCATTTTTTCTGAAAGACCTCATTTCAAATTCTTGTATCTTTGTTTGGATTTCAGTTGTTAAGGTTCAAATTTCACATTCATAGAGTTTGCTTACACAGAGTTTACTTAAATAGAGTTTAGTTCTCATGTTACTGGTATTGTTGCAGGGTAATCTGTACAAGTGTTGTGAGCAGTAACTTTACAATGTGTTTTGATGGTTTAACGGTGTGTTTCTAGTGACGGTTTTACAGTTTATTATGAGTGATGGTTTTACATAGTGTTGTGAGTGATGGTTTTACAGTGTTTTGTGAGTGATGGTTTTACAAAGTGTAATAGTGATGGTTTTACACTTATCCACACCCTCACCATGTGAATTTCTTTTGGCCAGTATGCAGCTTATCATTGTTATATTAATATTCAGTTTTCAGGGTAATAGTACCAAAGCTGAAATATTGAAATATTCTACTTGTATGTGTAATAAGTTACATGCTTTTAATCTGTATCATTAATATTTTAATATTATTTTATTGTCTCCTATTTTTTTAAACATCTTGCCAGCTTTCCTAAAGGTCTGTGGTTCAAATGCCCATTGGGGCAGATATGTTTAAAAATGGACCTTGTCTTGGAAAGTACACTAGACAACTTAAATAGATCTAATATGGGTCAGCCATAACTAGGGTGACCGTCAGTCCCGTGTTTGCTGGGTCAGCCATAACTAGGGTGACCGTCAGTCTCCTGTTTGCTGGGTCAGCCATAACTAGGGTGACCTGTCAGTCTCCTGTTTGCTGGGTCAGCCATAACTAGGGTGACCTGTCAGTCTCCTGTTTGCTGGGTCAGCCATAACTAGGGTGACCTGTCAGTCTCCTGTTTGCTGGGTCAGCCATAACTAGGGTGACCTGTCAGTCTCCTGTTTGCTGGGTCAGCCATAACTAGGGTGACCTGTCAGTCTCGTGTTTGCTGGGTCAGCCATAACTAGGGTGACCGTCAGTCTCGTGTTTGCTGGGTCAGCCATAACTAGGGTGACCTGTCAGTCTCGTGTTTGCTGGGTCAGCCATAACTAGGGTGATCGTCAGTCCCGTGTTTGCTGGGTCAGCCATAACTAGGGTGACCTGTCAGTCTCGTGTTTGCTGGGTCAGCCATAACTAGGGTGACCGTCAGTCTCGTGTTTGCTGGGTCAGCCATAACTAGGGTGACCTGTCAGTCTCCTGTTTGCTGGGTCAGCCATAACTAGGGTGACCGTCAGTCTCATGTTTGCTGGGTCAGCCATAACTAGGGTGACCGTCAGTCTCGTGTTTGCTGGGTCAGCCATAACTAGGGTGACCGTCAGTCTCGTGTTTGCTGGGTCAGCCATAACTAGGGTGACCTGTCAGTCTCCTGTTTGCTGGGTCAGCCATAACTAGGGTGACCTGTCAGTCTCCTGTTTGCTGGGTCAGCCATAACTAGGGTGACCTGTCAGTCTCGTGTTTGCTGGGTCAGCCATAACTAGGGTGACCGTCAGTCTCCTGTTTGCTGGGTCAGCCATAACTAGGGTGACCTGTCAGTCTCCTGTTTGCTGGGTCAGCCATAACTAGGGTGACCTGTCAGTCTCGTGTTTGCTGGGTCAGCCATAACTAGGGTGACCGTCAGTCTCGTGTTTGCTGGGTCAGCCATAACTAGGGTGACCTGTCAGTCTCCTGTTTGCTGGGTCAGCCATAACTAGGGTGACCGTCAGTCTCCTGTTTGCTGGGTCAGCCATAACTAGGGTGACCTGTCAGTCTCCTGTTTGCTGGGTCAGCCATAACTAGGGTGACCTGTCAGTCTCGTGTTTGCTGGGTCAGCCATAACTAGGGTGACCTGTCAGTCCTGTGTTTGCTGGGTCAGCCATAACTAGGGTGACCGTCAGTCCCGTGTTTGCTGGGTCAGCCATAACTAGGGTGACCTGTCAGTCCTGTGTTTGCTGGGTCAGCCATAACTAGGGTGACCGTCAGTCCCGTGTTTGCTGGGTCAGCCATAACTAGGGTGACTGTCAGTCCCGTGTTTGCTGGGACAGTATAATTTTGTTTAGTTTGACCCAGATTAACTATCCTGTATGATACCTCAGGACAGTTGATGGTGTTTTTTTTTTTCTTTTCTTAGTCTCAACAGGACAGTCTGGGTCTACCTAACAAGCAATACTAACCCAGTGATATGCTGGCTACTAGCCATAACTGATCTCTCCCCACCCTCCTCCCTCCTCCTCCCCTTTCTGTATTGAGGTATACACTTTTTCTTTACATGTGTAAACACTGTTGCCTGTATTTGCCACATTGTCAGGGGCGAAAAAAAAAGAGGGGTGGGGGGTGTGTCTGTCTATATGTGTGTGTGTGTGAGTGAGAGAGAAAGAGAAAGAGAGAGAGAGAGTGTGTGAGTGAGTGAGTGTGTGTATGTGAAGCTGATCTTGCCCCTTTTGAGTTCCAAGGCCCCAGTGTGGGGAAGATCAGAATATACCCACTGCATCCCCAACAAGCATGTCCTAAGAGTCGACTATTTGGGTTTTTTTTTCTTTGCAGTCAGAGTGCATCTGCCTGAGAGGACAGCAACCAACAGTCTGCATACAAATAAGTCAATCTGTAAAAACAGATGTGCCTGCAACACCCAGGTTCTGGAACAAATCCAGAGATGGATGAACAATCAGAACTTTCGGCTGGAGTTTACAGCAGGTGAACACGAAGAAGAAGAAGTGAAACCACCTCATCCCCTCTCCTGATTTCTGTTACTTTATAACCGTCTCTGGCCCCTACTTTAAACAGTTGAGTGAGGTTTTTTGAATTTGTACCTGCGGGATTCTCATCTGTACAGTAGGTCTTTAGGTCACCTGTTGTTTATCCTGCAGTATGCAGTCCTGGGGGGACGAGGGCGGGGGGGGGGGGTTCGGCTTCACTTACTTTCAGTTGTCACAGGATGGCGTAATAGGATTGTTACTGTGGTCCCGAAAAGGGGCAAAAATAAATCTCCATCCCCTACAAAGAATCAAACCGTGGTCTTCCACATGACAATTCAGGGCGCTAAACACTCGGCCAGCAGCTCCTCACTGACATTTTTGTGTAAATGTTGATGTTGTCACCTCCAGGATTGTAGTCTGTAGGATTAACATCTCAAGGATGAGAATC